GGGGCAGCCAGCTTGCTGGCATGGGGGGTGGGGGGGTTCACTTGTTGGCGTGTGAAAAGCACAAGTGAACCAACAGTAGCCAGTCCTCCCTCCTTGTGCGGTGAAAATGTGTTTTGTTTTGTTGTTTTTTTCCCATAAAATGTATTTTTGCCAATGAGGTGATTTAAAATGGAGGCTGTGTTGTTCCTCCTCACTTATTTTAGTTAGGATCGGCTTGGAATCTTTGCAGTTCAGTGGCTTCCAGGAATATTTGTCCTTTACGATTCGAGGCTTGTCCTTCGATTCCTGCTGCAGGTCGCCACTCTGGTCATTTGCACGCACTGCATTTGAGATCAAAATGTGTCCTTTTCACCACGGTGACACCAATTGGAGGTCCCTCACCCCACCCACCCCCACCTCACTACTGCACTATGTGTTTGTACTGGGGAGAACGGTATCTTTCTAAAGATTCCGTTTGGTGGGGGGGCAAGCAAAAAGGGGGGCGGCGTAAGTGACTAAAATGCCGTCCTGGGGTTCCAGGGGTTGCTTTTGAAGTAGCCCGAAGGGAGGGGGGGCCTGCGTGGTGAACATGTTTCGGGAAAGTGGTGCATTGGTACGTGAGCTGGGGAAACTGCAGTGGCAGGCTATTGTTTGTGATTCCTGGGTATTTTAACCATGAAACAGCTGACAAACAACGAATTATGTGGCTTGTCTGCACCGTGCACCGTCTGCTCCTCCATGACGCCTCACCTTCTCAGGAATCTGTTTCGCTCTTTGAACTTCAATTATCTCCCCCCCCAAAAAAAATGACAAAATTGCGTCATCCCTTCTCTTTCCTTCGCCACCCGCAATTTAAAACAAAACCCTAACAACTGCCACCAAAACCAGACCCTTCAAAAAGAAAACAAAACAACAACCCAAAAACCTCCCTGGCCCCAGCAACACCTTTTAATTCTTGTTTGTTGTTCCGATGGTGAAATACTGCAGGTGGACCCAGAGGGGGGCCTGGGGCCCTTCTCTCTGCGTCAAAATGTCCAGGAGAAATGGCAAGCTTGTGTCTTCCGTGTTTCTCTGTGTTTGTGTGTTGTGTCGCTTCATGGAAAAAGCCGCAGCAAGCAGCAGCAGCAGCAGCCGCCGCCCTCTCCCAGCCCCAAGTGTGTGACTGGCCACCCTCTTAACCTGAGACTCACTTTGATTTTCCAGGTGCTGGAGAATCTGGTAAAAGCACCATTGTGAAGCAAATGAGGATCCTGCATGTTAATGGGTTTAATGGAGAGTAAGTGTCAACTCTGACCAGGGCGGGGAAACTGTGTGTGACAAGTTGGTTTTATAATAATACTAACCTTTAGGAAGCATAGGCAAGTTGTTAGGGCTGGGCAGCCAACTCTCACTTAATGGTACCCACTACATATGGAAAAAACAAACAAAAAACAAACCTGGGCTGAGCACAGAGGGCCCCCCCCCTTTTTTTTTTTTTACATCTTCGGTGCAACAAATAAAGTTGGTTGTTGTTTTTAAGCACCAGCAGTGTCAGGTCGGGCCCCTTCTGAAGACAAGGTAACAGCACTTGGCCCGTGACAGCGGCCTGGCCAGGTCCCTCTGCAGCAGCCTTGCTGGCCAGCCAAGGCGCTCCCAACATGGCTGCCTGTGGCCACCCCTGGGCGCCCAGACCACTGCAGAGACCCAGCAGCCTTTCAAAACACGCGGGCGGTGGGGGGGGACGTTCCCCTCCTGCCCCCCCCCCCTTTTAGAATTAATATTACAGGCCAAGCCTTAGGTCCTCAACACTCCTACCTCAGAGAAAATTTTCAAAAAGACACATGCAAATGCTGGCAAGCCTGGGAACTCCGTTTTTCCTCCGTGTCTGGAGGCACTTTTGCGTTTGGAAAAGCCCTTCCAGGCGCAGTGTGGCAAGACAAGACTGCAGTGAGAAGGGAGCTCTTTTTTTTTAAGAGCCTATATATTACAGGCGTAAAAGGCAGGCCTGGGGTGACATTTGACCTGAGAAGTGCAAACACTGGGGGGTGGGGGGTATTAATATAATCTGGGGAGTCCACTTTACTCCCCAAGACCCTGAGGGGCCACCACCTAGGTCCTGTAACAGCACAAGCCACGGCCCCACCCCAGCCCTGTTGCCTTGTTCTCGGGGCGGGCGGGTCTGCCAGTGTGATCTCAGTAGATTACAAACACCTGAAGGCACTGGTTTGCGATTCCTACTAGCTGGTGGACACACAGGTCCCTTTCCTGAACCGGAATTCAATTCAAATGGCAGCCCTTGGCTGCATGCCCTTTGATACCCACGGGGAGACTGAGTGACAGAAGTTTAGTTCCGCGTCCCACCAAATGGAGGCCAGACCACCGGGGGACAAAGCTTCACCTTTGCGGAGGCAGAAGGCCTGAGGGCCACTCTCGATGGAAAATTCTAGAAACTGTTAGGTCAGACAGCCTAGGGAAAGGAAAAGGGTGACACCCCAGTGGCCGTCCTCCAAATGGTTAGAGTGCCATTTGGTGTGGAATTCAAAAGGACCCCATCCTATAGGGGAGGGTGATAACTATTTTACCATATTTATGAATGGGTTTCGATGAGTCATCAGTATACCCACATAGGCTCTTCTGGCCGGCCTGCAGAAACTGCCTGTTGGTTAACAAACAAAACCCAAGCCGGCTTTGGGCCCGGGCTTCAAGGAGTTTATCAAGGGAAATGTATCTTAGACGTAATTTTTTTTTTTTGGCCTCTTGCGGGCCAGTGACACTTCACGCAGCTGGTTAAGCACACACGGCCTGGCCACGTACCCTCTAGGTAAATGTTGTGATTAAACTGGACACAGCCAGGGGGGGGGGGGTGTGTCTTTTTAAACAATAGCAGTCATGTTTACCTTGAGTCTGAGGGACCTTGGGGGGGGTGGGGTGGAGATATGACCGGTGTCCCAAGAATTGGCCTACAAGTCTGATCACTACAGAGGGCCTCCTCTTTAAACAGCAAAGCACACACACACATATGACAAAACTGCTCCCCATAATTGCCAACCTGCAAGGCAGGCGAGGCCTTTAGCCTGGGGCTTCTCTTTTCTCTCTCCTTCTGGAAAGAGGAGATGACAGTCCCAGCCTTGCCTGGTTGGTGAAGAAGCCACAGGTAATCTGTACGGCAGAGGGCACGCAGTGGCAAACGGGAGTTCACCAGAGCTTTTCTCCCCTTATGTTTATCTTGGCCAACAGATCTTTTGCTGCCTGCCCCCCCCCCTTTTGTTCCCTCCTCACTGCAGTATTGCCACAAAGGCTGTGCCCTCCTTCACGAGGGTGATGAGCCAACCTGAGGTGGTCCTGGGCCAGAGAGCCCCACCTGCACTCACAGGAGGCTCTGGGGCCCGGGCACTGCAGTGCATCTTCACTGCCCCAGGCCGCCAGCGCCAACCTCGTTTTCACAGTGATGTGTCATACTAGCTTGACCTTCAGAAGTCCAGAGGTCGAGTGTGGGTTTCCCTGCCTGCAAGATAGCTAGCGCCCATCCATACATTCAACAGGGTGGGGGGAGTTAAAAATTATTTTTTAAGCCCCAACTGCCCATCATTAACATTGGTTACGCCTCATTCATTCGACGCAAAGCCCTAATAGAAAGGACCGCCATCCCATTGGCCTTCCCTGCCATGGAAGAGGACTTGCTACCATCAGAGACAAGATGGCTTTTTATTCTTTTGGATTTGGGGCCTAGGGGATGGGCCCTCCTCTCTCCGAGCCAGATCCCAGTCGGCAGCGGGACTATCTTTTACATTAAAAAAAAAATTTTCAAGATGGGGTCCCCAGCAGCCAGGAGGGATGTGGCTGGTTTTGCCCCAGGAGCCCACGGGCCTCCATCCCTCCCTGCCCCCGACTCCTGTGTGCAACTGCAGCATCTTGGCAGAGACCTGGCCTGGGAAGTGAGGTGCCTCGGGCGGCCGGCCTGGTCTCCAAGGTCTTGGCGCAGTGACTCACAGCGCCAGCGCGCTCATGCATGTACACTTAGTGAACACACAGGAAAATAATTATCTGTCCCTCCCGTCTTCGACCAGAGTCTCTGGGGGGCCCTGCTAATCACTGCGGCAGAGATGCCAGGGTGGGTCCCTCCACACCCCGAGCCTCAGGAGACCGTCCAATTTAGCCAGAGAGACGGCGGCGGCTCGGAATTAGCGGGAGGCTGGCAGCGACGGGGATGTGGCCCTTTCTCTGGGCTGTGTGCTCAGGAAGCAGAGGCGGTGGGGGTGGGGTGGGGGCTGGTGATGGTGGTGATTTTGGGGAATGACAGTGCTTTGCAGATAGGTGAGCTTTTAATCTCTCTTTGCAAGGGGCGGCGAAGAGGACGCGCAGGCTGCCAGGAGCAACAGCGATGGGTAGGCACATTCAAAACCAGGGGGAGAACCCTGTCTGAACCCACAAAGCAAACACAAAGATCAAACTGGAGGAAGGCAGAGATCATGAGAGACCCTGGCCACACTAGTTACCTGTGTCCACACCACACAGGCCACCTCACCTCACGCTTCACGGCTCTGGAAACGCAAACTACAAGCACACTATTTTTCCTCTCTGATTTTGTGGGCCATGCTGACAGGCTAAACAGATCCAGCTGGGGAGGGTGGAGAGTTAATAAGGTTTGCAAATTGATGCTTTTCCATATGGTTTCTATCTGCCTCTTCCCCCCCACCCCCCTGCATTTGAATCAGTTACTTGTTTTTAAAACTCTTGTCCATTCTATCCACCCCCAGTGGTCAGTCGGCGATTAAAATGAGACTTCTGAGATAAATTGCCTTCTTAAAATCCACAATGCCACATGGTCCTTAATTTGGGGGAGGAAAACACAACCCAAAAAGCCCCGCCTTAGCACCTGGTGGGAGATCGCCTTTCAGGCTCCTTGAAAAAGCGGGGTCTTCTATTTCTTTTTAAGATGTGTTGTCGTCCAAGGCGCTTTGCTAGTGGACAGGGGTCAGGACCAGTGGCCGCCTCGTTTTCCCCTTTCAGCATGCCCTGTTTTTCTTCACTTGGTCAATCTCACTACACCAACTGGCACCCACACACACATACACATCACATCACACTTAACACACATGAGCTTTCCAGGTAGCTCTGCGCGCAGACTCCGCACGCACTCGATGGACACGGCGCTGGGCCCAGCCTCGCCTCGTCTCCAAGCAGTGGCTTCTGTGGCTAGGGAAGGGAGGGACAAAAGACACGGGTCTGGGACGAAAGTAACTGACACATGTTTGTTCATCTGTTTCTTTTAGAGACTATTATTTCTAGATGTGATGGCTACAGTGTCTCAACTTCCCGCCTCTATCCGACCCCAAATTGCATGCTGGAATATCTCCACCCTTAGGACCTTCTATAAGAATACTATACTATCAAAAAAAAAAAAAAGAATACTATACTATGGGGGGGGGAGGGGGGTTGGGGCCCTTACTTACCTGCCCTTTGTGATCACTGCTCAGCCATCTAAAGAAAGTGGCATGAGATCCTTGATTGGCACCATGTGTAATGTCAGCCCCGGGCTCGGGCATCTGCATACAATGGCAGCGTTTGGTATCTCCTGCCCCATAAGCCGGCCCCTGAGAAGTAGACTGACTAACAGAGCAGCCTGCTGTGTCCTCGTGGTTGTACACCCCTCCCCAACTCTCCCTTCGAACCCAACTACTAATCCCCTGCCTGCAGCTCTATCCCTGGCTCTACTCTATAGCTAAATATTAATTATTAACTTAAACGTGATCAATAAAAACTCTCTGCATGTCTCAGCACTCCCTGTATCTTGTGTCTGTCTGCCGTCTACTTTCATCTGTTCCCCCCACCCCACTCCTGCAAAAGGCACAAGAGATGGGCTGTAGAAAGAACCCAGGACAACTGAGCCCTCCCCTCACACTTACATGGGGGTGGGGGAAAGCACTTAATGAGACACACACACCCCCAGCTGATTCGCTCTCGACATGGGTAGGGGTGGAGGGGGGTGGAGTTGGCAAAACTCCCTAAACTATCTCAGCCCCCTATTTTTTTTTTCTTGAGTCAGTCCAAGCCCCTGCCATGGATGTGGGCTTTGTTTTTGTTCAGAAGTTTGCAGACATCAGAGGCATTGCTGAATCCCACAACTCGATCTTAAATTGATTAAGCCGCAGTAAAAAAACGACGAGAAACCTGCCAGCCCCCAGCATATCCTCTCCATCTACATAGTAATTGCTTCAATGGAAGAATTTTTTATGTTTTAGTATTACACACCCCGAATTAGATTTCAGATTTCTATTTTAGCTGTTTTACACTTGATCTACTCCCACAGCTATTCACGTACGTAGATGAACAGTGAACCACGTTCTCAGAATACCCTTATTTAAGACGGGAAGTTTTCCAATTAGCATACTACGACTTAGACCAAAATACCAAGCTGAATGGGGAGCCTTGTGGCTGGAGCCACCCGCCCCAGCTGTTAACACAGGCACATCTCATTGCCCCACCACCGGGTGCTTCAACCCCAGGGTCATGGGTTACATCGCCTGAGAAATGGACGTGTCCTGGCAGGGTGGGGGTGGGGGGCGTTTTGTGTGGATCCCACTTCAGCACCTTCAGGGCCACCCAGACACGGGGTCAGGGTGTGGCTTTCACTGACCTTGGACACTACATCCAGGCCTGGAAGTCACAGGAGAGGCAGTTCAGAAAACCACTCTGGGAACCCCACAGAGGAGAGCACTCCCCTCCTGTTAACATTCAGGGGCCAAGGCAAGCGCTGGGGTCTGGGAGCTCCTCGCCTGCCCCCCACCCCCACCCCTTTCTGCCATACCTGCCCTGAGGGATCATCTCTAGGCATGGGACACTAAGGCTGGTGCCCCTGCTCCCACCCCATGCACACTTGAAAGTTCACTACCAAGGATGGAACCCTCAGAACCCCACCTCAACCCCTCCCCCCGTAGAGAAGCCCCCATAGGGAAAGGGCAGCCCTACCCAGGTTAGGCCCTGGAAAAGGGTGATGGGCCATTCAGCAGTGAAAACCTCCCCGTTTATTCTAAGGAGGTGGTGGTAGGTTTCCGGAGAGAAGGGCTGCTGGCAGGCCTTCATGTGACACCCCTTCATAGGTCCCTTATTTCCCCACCCCCCAGCAGAGGGACCCACCCTGAGCACCACTGCCTTCTCTGGCCCTGCTCCCCCTCCCCTTCACATGAATAGGGCCTCCGTTCCCTGCCCGTCCCATGGCAAGGACAGCCAGAGGGACCTTGAGGGCATCAAGACATGTCTGCAAGGTCAACCAGCTCTGTCCTTCCCTGCCTGATGTGGAGGCCCACCTTAGAAGCTGGGGTGATGGCCCTTCTGCCTTGCCTCTGGAGCACCACCCCCTCCCATCACCAATCCTCAGGACCCAGTACTCCCTAGAGAGGTTCCATCTTGGCCCCAACAAACACAAACCCCAGAATCTCCTGGTCAAGGCCAGGTGACCACTCTAGGTTGCCATAACCCAGGTGCCGGAGGATGTGGCACCCCGTGTGTGACCCTCCCCCGCTCACATGCTTCAGAGCTAAAACCCTAGTGAACACAGGAACTGCAGCATCTTCACAAGACCCTGCCCGCGCCCACCTGCAGCTCAAGGCCTCCGCGCCCTGCTACCTGCATATCAGACGAAGGCCAGTGGGGGCGGGATGCTGGCCTGCTAGCCAGCAAGGCCCCAATTGCTGACAGATACACTGGGATCACCAGATAAAGGGGTTACAACCCTGAGAGAGAAGGGGATCTTACACAGAGACCCACCCCCCCTACCCCTATTCACGCATTCCCAGAGCTCAGATCTCTGCCCCACCCACAGTGGCACTCCACACCACCCACATACACGTGCTGGACATTGATTGGTCAAGGCCCACAGAACCCTTTTAGGGAATGTTGCTGTGTGCTGGCAGGGCTCTCAGGCCAACAGAACCACAGGCAAGTGGGTCCATGGACCAGGTCCAGCTTGTGGTATAGGAGATAATGCCAATTCCCCAGTCTCCCCGGCCCCCACCCGCCCTGCTGTAGGCATGGCTCCTAGGGCCCTGTTGGGGGAGAGGCGAGACTGGTCCTTTTCAGCTGCCATTATGCAGATGCCCCCCCGCACAGATCTGCCCCCAGCCCCCCTCTGAAGGGTAGAATGGGATGCTTTCAGCTGGAATGTCTTGAAGGAAGGAGGGGTCTTCGGATGTAGTGTCATCTCTGTTCCTTTCAATCCCACTAGTGAGAAGGCCACCAAAGTGCAGGACATCAAAAACAACCTGAAGGAGGCCATTGAAGTAGGTGCCACCCACCCCTGCCCCTCAGGCTGCAGCCGCCTCTTGGGAGTACTCCTCGCCCCCTGACTGGCTGCTCCATCCTTTTCAGACCATTGTGGCCGCCATGAGCAGCCTGGTGCCCCCCGTGGAGCTGGCCAACCCTGAGAACCAGTTCAGAGTGGACTACATTCTGAGCGTGATGAACGTGCCGGACTTTGACTTCCCTCCCGTAAGCTGAGCCCCTCACGCCCCTTCTCGCCCTTTCACCTGGCCGGTAGGACACACAGGTGGTGGAGCTGGGCTGGGGCCTGCTGACCACACCCTGGGTGGCACACCCACACTGTGTAGGGCACGAGTCGTCGTCAGGGGCAGATCCCTGCTCCCCATGGGGACCCCCGCCCAAGGGCAGCCTGGTACTGGGCAGCCATGGTTCCCACTTCATTCGATTGTATGTTCTTTTATGAGTGGGGAAAGGTCCTATGCACGCACGCACCCCGGGACATGCGGCCCTTGCCGAAAGAAAGGGCTGGCACAGGCCTGCCGTCACTTCTCCCATCATGCTCCCTTTCTTTCTGGTAAAGTTCAGTTTCCTAGAAGGAAGCCATGGTCCCGGGCCCATCAGGCGGCCCTGCTCTCCCAGCACCAAGTCATGCACTGGCATATCCTCCTGACACAGATGAGCGTGCATGCCAAAGGCCAGCCTTTTACCCCCAGAAAGGCGCCAGGGGAGCCCCCCAAGCCAAGGGGTGCACAGTGGAGGGAGGGAGCATTTAGTACGTCCACATGGGGTCCCTGGGAGGCCTTGTCCATTAGTTGGACCTACGCTCTGATGTCTGCATGGGGGTCAGTCACATCTCAGCGTCCCAACATCTCCCTCTGGGCCCCCACCCAGCCCAATGTCCTCGGTGCAAGGCGAGGGCCCCCTTTTTCTCTCTCACTGCCCTCCTGTCCCTGCAGGAATTCTACGAGCATGCCAAGGCTCTCTGGGAGGATGAGGGGGTGCGCGCCTGCTACGAACGTGCCAACGAGTACCAGCTCATCGACTGCGCCCAGTAGTAAGTGACACCCCACCCCCGGTGGGCACACCAACTAGACACACTGGTGTAAAACATCAGCACCTTCCACGCCTGCACCCCAGAACCCACACCAGTTGTTTGTTACTCACCCACAGTTAGAAAATTGTCTCCCAAAAGGAAAACAGCCCAGTTTCAGGTGGGCTGTGCACGTGGGGGTGGGTTAGAACCCAGGAAACAGAACCAAAGAGTAATGTGGGAATTATCACACACGTGCCCTGGCCTCCATCGCCCCACCGAGCCCCGCCCTGTGTTTTCTGACACCTAAACTGTTTCTCTTGCTCAGAGGCTTTAGGGTAAAAGGTTGGACAGGAGTCAGGAGGTGGTCCTGTTAGTCCCCACAACAAACTACCTGGGGGGCTCTTCCAGGCCCCCCTCCCTGCCCAACTTTGTCAGGGTCTTGGCACGCTGAAGAATCTCCCTGCCCCCTCTTCTCGTTTGTCACATATATACGGCCTGGGGTTTAACCCACAAGCACAGTACATGGTTTCTGGGGTGTTTTTTTTTTTTTCCCAAGGACCGGAGGAGGGAAGAAGATTAAAAAGAAAAAAAAAAAAACCCATCTTGGCCAAATCTGTGACACCCCCATCCCACCCCCACCCCTTTCTTGCACAAAGTCCCTGGTTTTCTACAAAGTTTGAACTGAAAGCTGGAAGCGCTAATTATAGTAACACAGAACAAATGGAGATCCTGGAATTGTTTGCGTTTTGAATTTTGGACCCGAGTCAGAAGTGAAGGGCAGGTACCCGAAAGGGAAGGTTTCCGACCATCCTGGTTTTGCAGGCTGGGGGCAAGGGCGGGGGCGGCCCTTCTTGACTTCAGAGTCATTTACAACCAAGTGGTTTTGGTTTTTTGAATTTGCCCCCCCACCACCACCATTTAAAAAGTTTTTCAAAGCCACACTGCAAGCCTTCTCTCCCACCCCCACCCCCCGTATCAGACCCGGGCAGCATCTGCCCAGATTGTGGAAAGTTTTAAGGAAACTTGAGGGAGAGAGAATGGCAGCTCACAGCTTAACTGTCTCCGGGCGGGCTGGCGCCCGGCCCTGCCTGTGCAGTGGCCGCGGGCGGGCCTTTGTGCCGAAAGTTGGGACACGGTACCTGGCCGCGTCTTCAGCTGCCGACTTGTATCTGCGAGCTGGGGTTTGGCTGGCCCCGCTCCAGACGCTCTCTCACAAGATTTGGTGCTGATGGTCTATTTATAGCCTGTGGTTCCGTTGTCAGGACGACCGTGCTGGAGGCCCGGGCGGCCAGGGAGCTATTTCTGGCCGGGTGCTGTAATGTAAGGCTGATTGAGCAAGTCCCATATCCTCTAAGCCAGACTAACGCCAACCCAGTGAAGGGGAAGAGGAGGGGCAGACTCAGAGTTCCTGTTCCCGGGCTCCTCTCCCTCGGGGAGACTCCTGTATGATTAGCCGCCTTTTACAACAGCCACATGCACCCCAAGACCAAAACCGGTTTGACCATTAACTTTCCAACCCCCTGAAGCACCCTGATCCTCCAGAGACAGGAAGAAAGGGAAACAAAGCGGCTTGGCCTGACCGTGTGTCTGGCCAAGGCCAAGCCAGGAAAAGCAGGATCACTTTTGCTTCAGGAAAAGTTCTTGCCCGGTGGGCACGGCTCCCCGCCCCCACGCGCAGCAGGGCCCGGTTTGTGGCACAGCATCGTTTTTGGGGGGAGGGCCACCCCACCCCTCCGCTCTCTGTACCAGGCAGAGTAAGAAAGGAGATGGCAAAGCTGCAGGGTGTTTGTTTTTGTCTGAAAAGGAAAACGTTTTCCTCTCCGGAGTGTTCTGTCTCAGGGCCCAGTGGAACGGAAGGGAACTTTGTGTCTGCTTCCTGTGCAGCACTGGTTCAGGCGAGAAGGGGCGCTTTGTGCCACACCTCTTTTGTTCTCTTCAATAAATGAGATTCTTAACGAGTTCAGGGGAAAGGATCACGTTTCTGAGTAACTAAAAACAGTCTCAGGGGCATGTCCTACCTGGGGGGGGGAGGGGGGCAGGGGGCGGGGGGGCCGTGCAGGAGGGTTAGCTTCCTTTAAGGGTGCCTTTCCACATGAAGGGAAAAAAAGTGGAAGAAGGTATGCCACTCCTCAAGTTTTCCGACAGAAAACCGAGAGCAGAGCCCCGCCACTGTCCTGTGCTGGGAGTTGTCCCAAGAGTCAGCAGTGTCTTACAGAGACATCTCTCTCATTCCCTGGTTCCTGGATGACCACTTCGAGTTCCTCCAAACCCCCTTTCCTTTTTTTTTCCTTTCAATCTTCCATTTGAAGTACCTTGTTCACTCAAATGCATTTTTGGAAGTTTTTATTTTAAATTCTGCTCTTAACCCAAAGGTCTAAGTTTTGAGTCATAAATGTTGACCCCGCCAAGTCCCATTGACTTAATTCTGCTCCCGTGGGGACCCTCACTGCTGTTTAGTGACTGTGTGGAGACACAAGTCGCTGGCAGATGGACTTGAATACCCGTCTGTGTCCTTTCCTGCAGCTTCCTGGACAAGATCGATGTCATCAAGCAGGCCGACTACGTGCCAAGCGACCAGGTACACAAGCCACCTCACCACCGGAGGGATTGGGGGGTCTCCATGGTGGGCAATGGTTAATAATATTTGGGTGGAATTTGGTAAGGTGGGTTGACCTAACATTGACTTGCACGTGTAGGACCTGCTTCGCTGCCGTGTCCTGACTTCTGGAATCTTTGAGACCAAGTTCCAGGTGGACAAAGTCAACTTCCAGTGAGTGAATATATGCCCCTTTTAAAAAGCGGTTCCCTGATTCCCAGCGGCTGCCTCTGGTGGAGCGACGGCTGAATGGCCAGCCCTTTGGTTAACCAAATGCCCTTCCTCCCCCAGCATGTTCGACGTGGGAGGCCAGCGTGACGAACGCCGCAAGTGGATCCAGTGCTTCAATGGTACGAGCGCGTCTCTTTGAAGGGAGGCTCTTCCTTGCCTGTGCCTCTGCCCCCCCCCCTAAAACGCATCGCTTTGTCCCCTAAGATGTGACTGCCATCATCTTCGTGGTGGCCAGCAGCAGCTACAACATGGTCATCCGGGAGGACAACCAGACCAACCGTCTGCAGGAGGCTCTGAACCTCTTCAAGAGCATCTGGAACAACAGGTGTGTGGCGCCGCCCTGCTCTTCACCGCTCTGCTTGTGGCCCGTTCCAGAAAAGGCTCTTGCGCGCGCGCCCCCCACGCCAGCAGGGGCATTAACCTGGCTCCCTCTCTCCCATGGTCAGATGGCTGCGCACCATCTCTGTGATCCTGTTCCTGAACAAGCAGGACCTGCTCGCCGAGAAAGTCCTCGCCGGCAAATCCAAGATCGAGGACTACTTCCCGGAGTTCGCTCGCTACACTACTCCTGAGGATGGTATGCGCGCACGCACGCACGCGGCTGACCAGAGCACACGCTCTAGTCTAGCCGCGACTGACCTTGACTCACTGGCACCGACCTTGACTCACGTGGCACTTGTTCTCTCCGTAGCTACTCCCGAGCCTGGAGAGGACCCCCGTGTGACCCGGGCCAAGTACTTCATCCGCGACGAATTCCTGGTGAGTGGGCCTTCGTCTTTAGAACCTTCTTTTTGACCACGCTCGCTCTCTCCCCCCACCAATGGATGTTGCCTGGACACTGGGGGGCTAGGAGGCTATTTAGTTCTTCAGCTTGAGTTCCCAAATCTGTAGCCTGGCCTCGTTCAGCCATGAGGACCTGTTCATTGGGGTTTGGGTTTCGGACCACTTCACCGGCTAGTCGGCAGCTGTCCTGCGTAGGAAGGGCAGATGTCCCCGTTGGCCATGGGGTGGGGATCAGGGAGGATGCTCTTGAATGGGGTGTTGCTGACGGCCCCCTCCGTCTGTGCCCGCAGAGAATCAGCACTGCCAGTGGAGACGGGCGCCACTACTGCTACCCTCACTTCACCTGCGCTGTGGACACCGAGAACATTCGCCGCGTGTTCAACGACTGCCGCGACATCATCCAGCGCATGCACCTTCGTCAGTACGAGCTGCTGTAAAGGGGGAACCATATACTTAAGCCTTAAGCACAATTAATTAAAAATACTATATAACTCTACAAGCAGTTAATCGCCCACCATAGGGCAAAGATTAACCAAAGCAACCTTTCCTTTCCCCCGTGATTTTGCAAAACCCCTTTTTCCTTTTCGCTTGCTTCGATGTTCCAAATTTAGAAAGCTTAAGGCGGCCTTCAAAATTAAAATAGAATAAGAAAAAGGCCACAAGAGTTCCCTCTCACTTAAAATATAAGCAGCAATCCAAAAAAAACCAAATAATTGTTTTGTGCAGCATTAAAAAATCAATCAATAAAAATTAAATAATCGGCAAAAGATGTGGCTCCTTGTGAATTATTTGTGGCGTCACACAGGCTCCCCGGCCTCTGGTGTTCAGCTTGGTCCTCATTTACTTGGTCAAAATATCACAACCCCTAGGGTGAGGGGACTGGCCAGACCCCCAAACTTATGTGTGTAAAACCTTGCCACCACATACCTTTGTTGACCTCCTCTTTGGGTTTCATAACACTTTACAAATCAGAAAAGTCCACCCCTTGCCCTTCCCCCCAGTCCTGTACCCCAGGGTAAATCAATGTCCTCTAGTCAAAGAACTCTACATTTTGATAAATGCTGCCCCATCCCAAAACTACTAGTGTCACACAATGTATCCATTACCCAGTATCACTCCCCCAAAATAGTGTCTCTGTGTGTGTGTCAGTTAGGTGTCTGACTTAGAACACTCTTCAAATCACAAGTAGTAAAAAACAGTGTTGCAAACAACTCACCCTTGGGAAAATTTTCAACTGGATCCCTACCTCATTCCGTATACCAAAATAAAATCAGTATAAATCAGTCACAAACATTTCCATTCATTAAGAAAGAACTCGCGAGACTGGCTAGCTTCACAATTGCAATCTTGGTTTATAGACTGTCTAAATCTGATCCAGAAGCTATAAGGAGAGGAGGGGGTGACTATAAAAATTACAACAAAGATGGGGGGCGGGGGAAATGTAGTGATTTTCATAAAAGAACACAGAATAATTGAAAATCAGAGATGAACAGGTACACAAATAGATTTTACTGAGAAGAGAAAGGCAAATGTGAAACCCCACACACACGATGAGAACTCCAGGTTCAAGCAGAGCTTTTCAGCGTGAGTGCGCCTGAGGTGGCAGTGGCGCCCGTGGGCTCATCGCAAGTGCATGAGGCCCATTCATAGTGAGTGCACGACGTACACTTGAGGTTCTGTCCGTTAAGACTGGCCCCAGTGTGTGGCTCTCCTGGGGGGGTGGAGGAAGAAATGGGCTTGCCCCCAGCATCAATCCTTGCATCTTCTGATGATGCGGGCGGATGGGTGGGATATTAATCCAGTTTCACAAATTTCAATAAGCCTTCAGGGCACCCCACATAAACACAATCTGTTAAAACAAAACAGGCAACTACACATCAACCAACAATATACAAACCAAATAACAGCTGTTTGGTCTGGGAACTGGATGGGCCGCCCCTCCTTCATAAGACTCTGGAACCAACTATGTCATAATCCATGTCTTGGTGTGAGCTGTGTAGCCAATCAGAGTCTCTCCTGGGCCATGGAGCAGTTATCCCACCACCACCACCAAATGATACTCCAGTAGTCTACTTGCTTAAAATTGGCATAGAGTCTATGGTACTTTCTAGAAGGTACTTTCATTAAAAAGCCATAGTTGTCCAATGCCTAGTTACTGGATCCCTACCTCGTGCCACACCAAAAGGAATTCAATATGCTTTTCATGCAATTCACCTTTGCACAGCCCAATGAAATAATGTGTTCTGCCATGGCACCGTTTTACCAGTGTTCCGCCATTTTGCCCAGGCATGAACAGAGGCTTAGAGGTCAAAGTGCCTTGTCCCGAGAGACCCCACAGGGTAGACGGGCTTCAAATGCAGGCAGCCCTAGGCCACTCCTTGAGTGCTCCACACATTGTCCCTCTGGGAGACAGAAAGAAGGCCTTCCCGCGGTCCTTTTGTCAGAAACTCATGACCTTTGGCCTTTACGGGTCCTGCATGGCACCATGGGATTTCTGTGTTGGGGGTGAAGGTGGGATGTCACGGTGTGTCCCTCTGTGACAACGTGGCACCATCTCCATTGTTGTGAGGCCTGCCTCTCTTTAGGACTCGGCCCTTCTCAAAATGGTTGCCTTTCCACTTTCCCTCTGCCTCCAAGCATCACTGTTTCAGGGAAACTTTAAAATATCAATCCTAGGATCTTTAGGAAACCCAAAAAACAATAAAGAATTTTATATAACCTTTGATTACAAGAAGTCATTAAAAAACATTTTTTAGCTGAATTTTAAATCCCTATTCAAATGGAAAACAACCCATTTTTCTAGAGGTAGCAATTGGTGCCACACTTCATAAGGTGTGTAGGGCAGATATCATACCTGGCTATTCATCAGCCTTTTAGAGATTAAGATACTAACAAACCACTAGCCCCCCCCCCAGTATGAGGAAGGGCTGCAAGTGGGTAGACTTGTGTGCACCCCCACTTCATGCACACATTGGCACATTATAGTCGAAGAAATGACATCTTCGCCAAATGGCCCACTTACTAGTACAATGGTCTGTTTGATGGATGGATTTGGTTATCTTTTTATTTAACACATGTATATAATCTTTTCATTTAACGCATCTATGCAGCCACTAGCTGTCTTGCTCACGTGGGGTTTATGTCCTAGGGGAGAGACACGCCGAGATGGTGAAAAGATCTCTGAGACAATAAACAAGATGAGGGGGCTAAGGGATGGGAGGGACGCGGAGAAACCGTCCATGGACTGTTGATGGACTCGCTGGTGAAGGTCTGTCTGAGAGTTAACCTTTCCTATAGGGATGCCAAAGGACCAGATACCACTAGGCATTCAAGTACACAGACCCAGCGTCATCATTTTAGGGAGATGAAGAATTATTATTATGACATAGCATGACAATCGTGAGGAATGTGCCGGACTGGGCCGTGTCTGTTCTGGTGTGCATATGGTCACTATGGGTGAAACAAACCATGTGCTACTAGTACAACTGTGTTTCTTAATCTAGAGTTTGCTTAATCAGCTATATTACATTTGAGGAAATTCATTGGACTATTTAGGGTTTGTGTTCTTTGCGGTCTGCATAGTATATTTTTAATTAAAAAATAATAATAAAAGGCACTAGGCCCAGCTGGTTTCATAGGAGAATTCAACAAAACTTTTAAAAGGTCAAATAATCCCAATGCTATTTAAGTTATTTCAGGACATAATATAAGAAGAAAACTTTCAAATTTATTTTTAGGAAGCAAGTATCAGATTAAGGTTAAAAACCAACATAAGATTGGATCAATCAGTCAATCAATTTCAAAACAATCTTGTTGATGAATACCAGTTTTATTTATTTTCTATGAATATAAGTCTAAAAAAATTCATACATAAGCAAACAAAAATCCAGTAATACATTTTAAAATTAATACATCAAGTGACGTTTCTCTAAAAATTCAAGATTGTTTCGATATTTACAAATAGAGTGATATTATCATCATGTAAATAGAGTTTAAAAAACTAATTATATGATCATCTCCATAGATTAAAAAAAGGGCATTTAATTTAAAAGGACATTAATTTAATATCTATGTTTTTAGAACTCCAGTAGAACATTAGTGGGTGCTTTCTCAATACACAGATTTTACACACATGCACACACACACAGAGAGTCTATTTATATACAAAAGCCAACATTTTAGTGAAAAATCTCTAAACGCTACTGTAAGGAACAAAAAAAGGATAGGATGGGGGGTGGGGAATGAGGAGCTGATACCAAGGGCTCAAAGTAGAAAGAAAATATTTTGGAAATGTTGATGGCAACATATGTACAATTGTGCTTAATAGAATTGAATGATGGCTTGTTATAAGATTTGTAAGAGCCCACCCATAAAATGATTTTTTTTTAAACAGATAGGATGCCTCATATTGCGATCCTATTGATTATTGTATTGGCAATAGGATAATGCAGTTAAATAAACAAACAAACAAAACAATTAGAGGCCCGGGAAGTGGAAAGAAGTAAGAATACTGCTTTTCTAAATAATGTAATCAAATATCATACACACCACCAAATCCACAGAAACATAATGACAACAAATGACAATTCAGTAAGGACATGCTAACAGAACTGACATGCAAAAATCAACAGCGTGCATAGCCCACCCGCTCCACCAATGGAACATGCCTGTTGAGCACCTGGCTGCAGTGCTGCCCAGCTTTCTCCTTGTCTTTCCTTGCTTTTTTTCCCCTCCCCATATGGCTTTTTATTTGGGGGAGGTTGGTTGTTTTCCTGTTTGTTGTTTTTGTTCCATTCAGTGGGAGTTAGCAACTGCATCCACGCTCTGCAGTCCCACTGGACAAGTGCCACACCCATTCCCTCTAAATGTATGGCACGTGGGGACCCGCACCAGCCCAGTCCACCCTCAAATGACTGTACTTGAACAGAGAAGTGGACACATATTCCCAACCACGACTACGGTGGGCAAGGAGCACCTCAGCACTGCCAAGCTCGGGGACTGCCTCTATCACCTGGATCTTCAAACTAACGTCAAGCAAAAAGACACGGTAAGACAAGCCATGAAGTAACCATAAGCAAACACCACCCCGGGGTCCTGGACACAACAGATAACCCCAGGCTGCTCGGCCACGTTACCAAAGCATAGAGCCATAAAACCTTCCTGAGGCTTAGAAAGTATTAGAACTACCTGGTGAGAAATTCAAAAGAAATGTAAGTCCCTTCAACAAATTAAGAAAGATCACGGGAAAAATAGACAAAGTGCAGGAAAACACAGAACTCTAGAAGAACACATGGGGTAAATTAACTAGACAATTAAAAACCACACAAAACCAGCGAAAAGAAGGCCGGAACACTAAAATTTCAGAAATAGGTGACACTGGCCAACACATATGTTGGTGCCTCAAATGTTGGACCTGTTTCTGGGATTATTTGACCTGCTGATTTCAAAAACGGCACCAGATTCCTGCCCACCCCTCAACACCCCCATCAGTTCTAGTTTCTGAGATACAGAACATATATACTATATACCTTCATTCTGCTCACCCATAAACATTCATCACATTTTAATGTAGTGTTAGCTAGCCTGAGATAGAAGAAGTACACATCGCCTTTATTTAGTTTGTCTTGTCCTAAATATTTATGTCAAGTCGCATGGTGTCCTTTGATGCAAAGATCTATTTGAATATTGCAAATTACATGAACGTGGCAGTTCCCTCAAGTATCTCTTCACCTTTATTAGAACCACAGGAAGCACTCGATGAGCCCTA